TGCAAATCCTTCTATCAGAAAATCTTAGGAGGAAGGTCAGGCCTAAATTCCTGTCACAGTCTTGGTCTTTCAAAATGGGATCAAATTATTTTCCTTCCAATGGCCATTGCTGATCTCCTCTGCTTCCTGATTGGTAGTGAAGGTGTGGAGAGATGGGGCCTCTCCGGCAGGAGGCCTGCCTCATGTCAGCCACTTCTGTGTTCTTAGAATCCCAAAGGGCCATTTCAGGGCTCAGAGGGAAAAGCTAGCACTCAGGTAAAACCAAAAGGCCTGGAACAAGGCCTGGAATAAAAAAAAAAATCTGGATCTGGAAGAGTGAAAGAGAAGAGTGTAGAGAAGGCAGCGCTACTTGGGCCTTGGGTTCTTGACAAAAAGGCTGTTTCCACCATTCCATCCACTTCTATCAGCAACACCTCAACAGCTCTCCTCATAATAGCCACACACAGGCACTGTAACATGAGTCTGTGGCCTCAAGGCTTGATCTTGCTCAGCTTATGCTTTGTGTGACCCTGTTTTCTCTGATTCTCAGTTTTCTCATCAGTAAAATGGAGCTAGTATAACTTCCTTCTAAACAGAGTGCTTGATGGACAATGGAGACATGGAGGGGTAGGATGGAGAGTGGGTGGGTGGAGGTTTGGGAGGTTGCTTGGTGGGTATAATGTGCATCAGTCCAGTGACAGATGCACTAGAGATTTTTTTTTCAAGACAGAGTCTCACTTTGTCACCTTCAACAGAGTGCTGTGGCATCATAGCTCACGGCAACCTCAAACTCTTGGGTTTAAGTGATTCTCTTGTCTCAGCCTCCCAAATATCTGGGACTATAGGTTCCCACCACAATGCCTGGCTACTTTTAGAGATGGGGTATTGCTCTGGCTCAGGCTGGTTTCGAACTTATGAGCTCAGGTGATCCACCTACCTTGGCCTCCCAGAGTTCTGGGATTATAGGTGTGAGTCACCGCACACAGCCTATACTGGAGATTCTGACTTCACAATAGGGCAATAATAGTTCAATGTAGCAGAATTGCCCTTGTACCAATGAATTTATATTATACAAATAAAAATAAGTAAATAAAAATGTAAAAGAAGGGGCAAAGCCTGTGGCTCAGTGAGTAGGATGTCAGCCCCATATACCAAGGGTAATGAGTTCAAATCCAGCCCTGGCCAAACTGCAACAAAAAAAATAGCCTGGTGTTGTGGCGGGTGCCTGTAGTCCCAGCTACTCGGGAGGCTGAGGCAAGAGAATCGCCTAAACCCAAGAGCTGGAGGTTGCTGTGAGCTGTGATGTCACAGCACTCTACCGAGGGCAACAAAGTGAAACTCTGTCTCTGAAAAAAAAAATGTAAAAGAAGAAAAAATCACACAATGTCTGCTCTTAAACAACAATAGAATTAGACTAGAAACCATTAACCGAAAGGCAGCTGAGAAATCTCAAAATATCTGGAGATTAAGCATTTTTAAATAACACACAGGTGAAAGAAGAAATCTCAAGACAAACTTAAAAATATTTTCAACTAAATGAAAATGAAAGTAAAGTATGAGACAAATTAAATTAAAAAAAAACACACACACAGGGCTAGAAGCACCTCCAAAGGAGATTTTGGCACAGGGAGGACAAATGACTTAACAAAGGACACTAATGAGATGCCATCAGAATTGGGATTGGAACCCACACCGCCACCTCTCCAGACCACTTCTCAGGCCATCACCCTAAGATTCTCCCTGCCCCTTCTCTGCTTCCATGTGTGACCAAAAACCCAAATGTAACTCCCAGCCACTCCACACTTCTACCACAGCATGGGGTGACCTTGTCATGAAGCTATTTGATGGCAGGCTAGACAGGAGCTCCAGAAAGCTGGCATATGTCCCCAGTGCTTTCCTCATCTTTTCTCTGGATTCCTTACCTGTCCATTTCACAGAGTACCCCAGGGCACTGTCCTAGACAACAGGGACACTGTGGGGAGAGGAAAAGATTACAGATACAGCCCCAAACCTCATGGAGTTGAATATCTTTGTCTCTGTCCCAGGTAATTTAGAGCCTTGCGGTCAGGGAATGAGGGATATCTAGGTCTTGGGGCCTCATGGAGTCTGGAGCCAGAACCTTACCATGTGTCTGTCTTCCCTAATGCCTACAAGCCTCTGGCCATATTGATTTGAGTCTCACCTCTAACTTCCACCATGAAAAGACTGGAAGGCTTTTTTGCTGCTGCCAGGAGGGCATTCAGTTCATATTCTTCCTCAATGATAAGCAGGTCTTGCTGAAACTTTGAGCTCACAGACTTTGTTATTCATGACCAGCCAGGACCACTTTATCAAAATGCTGGAGTAGAGGCAAGGGATTACAAACAAGAATACTGTTAACAGATAGGGCACAGTGGCTTATGCCTGTGATCCTAGCACCCTGGGAGGCTAAGGCAGTGGATTGCTTGAGCTCAGGAGTTCCAGACCAACCTGAGCAAGAATGAGACTCATCGATACTAAAAATAGAAAATCTAGCTGGGTGTCATGGCAGATGCTTGTAGTCTCAGCTACTCTGGAGGTTGAGGCAAGAGGATCACTCAAACCCAGGAGTTTGATGTTGTTGTGAGCTATGACACCATAATACTCTACTCAGTAACAGAGTAAGATTCTGCCTCAATAAGTAAAACAAACAAACAAACAAATAAAACAAAAATAATACTGTTAACAGCAGTTACTTGCTCTTGCCTAATACATGCCTGGCTCTGAAAGCTTGTTATCCTCCAAGCCTTAAAACAAACCTGAGTAGAAACAGAGGTTCTGAGAGATTCAGTAACTTGTCCAAGCTAGTAAGTGGCCAAGCTGGAATTTCAACCCCAGTCTGAAAAAGCAGGTACTCTTGCCATTTTCCCAAACTGTATCTCTATAGGGTATGGATCCCATACCCACGAAGCTTTTCATCTCGTGGATGGGTAACTCTCATCCAAGAAACCACACACTAGAAGCAGCACTGATGGAGATGTTAACGATTGGAACAAAGTCAGGAAAGAGGGAAGACAAGTTTGCAGTGGGTTTAAGGACAGTGAGAAGAGAAGATCTGCTTGCCTGAGGAGGCCTGAAAAAGGAAGGTGGTTAATGATGGTGAACAGCTCTGGATGCCATACTAAAAAGAATGGGCCAGGCACAGTGGCTCACACCTGTAATCCCAGCACTCTGGGAGGCAGAGGCAGGTAGATCACCTGAGCTCATGAGTTTCAGATCAGCCTGAGCAAGAGTGAGACCCTGTCTAAAAAATAGCCAAGCATTGTGGCAGGTGCCTGTCATCCCAGTTACCTGGGAGGCTGAGGCAAGAGAATCACTTGAGCCCAGGAATCTGAGGTTACTGTGAGCTATGACACTACTGCACTCTACCGGGGCGTCAAAGTGAGACTGTCTCAAAAAAAAAGAGAACAGGTATTCTCTTCTAGGTGGGGATCTGACGGCTTGCGAGCAGGAGAGAATAAGAGCGGACAATGCACTTGGTGTAAACAAGTTTGTCCTTCGGGCCAATGGATTAAGTGCGAAGAAAGATCTAAGTATATTAACACAAAATATAATGGCATCTATTTTTTGGGAAGTTTCAAAAATATGCTGGAAGACAATTGCCCCATTATTGTTGAGAGGTTAATCTGGTAAAGTCACCTGATAAGACATTCTCCAACTATCAGAAATATTCAATAGTCTGCGAATGACATAAAAAAGTGTGTATGTCCAATAAAGAATACAAAATTGAATAGCATCACTATTCTGGTTAATAATAATAATGTTAAAATAATGATAATAAAACAGTATCATCCATGGGGGAAACTGGGAAAAAAGAGGAAATACTAAAAAATGCTAACAGTGATTGTTTAAAGTTGATGAGAACCATGGATGTTTTTTTCCTTTCTGGCTACTTTACATTTCCCGTTTTCTCTAATGATATACAGTCTTCTTTTTCTTTCTGTTAAAAAAAAAAAAAAACTCCGCGGCCTTTCCTAATTGTTATTTTGCCATACCCACGTGGCAGGGAAGTTATGAGGCGTAAACCGGTAAAGAGACGCAAATTACCCAGCACTGTGCTTGGCACAAAATCTGCGCTCAAATGAGTGTTAGGTGAGAAGGGTCAATGGACGCTGGCTGAGCATCCCAGTTTCCAAGGAGCCGCGACCCCGCCAAGGGGCCGCCTGGACCCTTCCGCCACCGCCCGGCGGCAGACACGCCCTAGAGACCAAAGCTCCGCAGCAGCGGCCTCTTGGGTCCTGCGGAACCAGCCCAGCCTGCGGACGTGGAGCCCCGGCCGCGCCGCCCCACACACCCCCGGCAGCCTCGCGCGACGTCGCGCGCGCCCACGGCCCCGCCCCGTGACGTAACTCGGGGCGGGGTCGCTGCGGCTCTGTCCCGCGCCTGCTCCGATTGGCTGCCGTGCTGTCACCACGTCGCGGGAAGCTGGCAGGGTGTGTGTGTGTGTGTGTGTGTATGTGTGTGTGAGGGGTTTGCTTTGTCATTCGTACCCCCGTCGCGCGCTGACGCGGCGGCTTGGCTGAGAGCTCCAGCATCCGCAAAAAGGACCCCGGCCCCCGGCGTTGCTTCTGGGATGCTCCCTTACATAATGACGCGACTGACTGGAGCACATGTCAGCGCAGAAACCCCACATGCCGCAAACCCGGCCCGGATTTCATACATTGCTAGACGAGAGCCTACAATGCCATACAACACCGTATGCTCTAGTATGGATTATAATACAATGAAACGCAATCCAATAATAGTGAAGCATATCTTCGCAACAAGGCATAATATAGGATGTTATATTTATAGGGCCTATTTATAAGCCTCTATTTAAATCTTTTCTGATAGGCCCAGCCACGGACCCAGACACCATAATGATTGGCGCATTCTTCTGTCCTTCAAAGAGGCGGGTTCTAGAGTCCGTTTTGCCGCAGCGGGCCTTAGGATTGGCCGGATTCGGTGTAGCGACGCCTTCGATTGGCCCCATGGCCCGTCCGTCGGACCCGAAGAGGCGGGGCAGGCGGCTCTGGTGCTGGGCGGGCGGGCCCCGGAATTGTCATTTCTTTGTTTCCGAAGGCGGAGGAGGCTCTGAGCCCCCCCTCCCGTGCCACCCCCTCCCCCCGGGTGCTGGCTCCATGTCTGTGTGATCGGCCCCAGGGGTAGAGTCCAGGCCCGAAGCGGGGCGGGCCGGCGGCGGCGGCGGCGGCTGAGGTGAGAGACGGCGGCGGCGGCGCGGGCACCCGGCCCCCCAGCGGGAGGATGAAGCGGCGGAACGCCGACTGCAGTAAGCTCCGCCGCCCCCTAAAGCGGAACCGGATCACCGAGGGCATCTATGGCAGGTGAG